GATGGATGGATAGATGAATGATGGATGGATGGATGGATGGATGATGGATAGATGGATGGATGGATGGGTAGATGGATGGATGATGGATGGATGGATGGATGATGGATGGATGGATGGATGATGGATAGATGGATGGATGGATACATGGATGGAGGAGTGAATGAATGAATAAATGAATGGCTTTTGTCTTCCCAGGAATGACTCCCACAACATGAGAGACTTGGGGAGCCGGGAGGCAGCTGTTTAGAAAATGAATGACAACAAACCAGAGCCTAGACAAGACCTGAAACACCACAAACCTCCTTAATAGGGGAAATGGCATTTCCTAAACCAACCAGAGACACCAGCCAGCTGTGATGGTGAATTTTAGGTGTCAGCTTGACTGGATGAAGGAATACCTGGAGAACCAGGGAAGCACTGTTTCTGGGTGTGGCTGTGTGGGTGTTTCCAGAGGAGACAGGCGTGTGAGCGGGTGAGGAGATGCCCTTCCTGTGGGCGGCACCATCCAAGCAGCTAGGGGCTGAGACAGAACAAAAAGCCAGAGAAAATGTGATTCCCTCTTCCTCTCCTGAAGCTGGGACTCTTTGCCTCCTGCCCTTGGACATCAGAACTCCAAGCTCCCCAGCCTTTGGTCTCCAAGACTTGCCCCACAGGTTCTCAGGCCTTTGCCCTTAGACTGAAGATCATACCATTGCTTCCCTGGTTCTGAGGCTTTGAGACTGGGGCCAAGCCCTGTCACCCCTATTCCTGGGTCTCCAGCTCGCAGAAAGCCTGCTGGGGGCCCCCGGGCCTCCACGGTCCCAAGAGCCGATGCTCCCAGTCGGCCCCTCTTGTCTGCCTCTACCCAGCTGCTTCTCTCTGGTCTCTGGAGGGCCCTGACGAACGCGCCGGCCAGTCCGTCAGGCTCCTTTCAGCCCTCAATGCTATGACTATAACGAGGAGTTGATCAACAAGGAGTAAGAGAGTTAGCTCTGCCCCTGGTAGCCCTGGAGTCCCCAGCCCCACACCCCTCAACTACCCCTGACCAGCCTCACCCATCCCAGACAACAGTCAGTTCTGACTGCAGAGCCTTGTGTTCTGGGGAGAAACAGCTGCCATCCTGCTCCTGGGCAGGCCACGGGTGGGAGGAACAGGGGGTGAGCGCACAGCCACCTCTTTGCGGTCTGAGGTTGCCGGAGGCCGCCAAGCTCATTTGGAACGGCCAGGGTGTCCCTACTGGGCTGAGCTCATGAACAACAAAAGATGAATCTGGACGTGTGGGAAATGCTCAGTAAACGCCCCGAATAAATGAAAGGGGCATTCGCTCTTCACCTCTGTGGCGAAAGGGACACACCAGCCCCACCCCTCCACACCCGCTCCCTGTGGTCAACAAGCTGGGAGTCCGGGAGGCCAGAGACCAGCAGCCTCGGCAAGCCCCCTGCCTGCTCGGACCCTTCCTCCCCTCTGTCCACGGCAGGGGCTGGAACGAAATGCCCCGGCCCAGCCAGAGGTCCCCAGGAGTCTGAGCACCTGGGCGGACCAGACCGCAGAGAGAAGCTGGGCTTTTGCTTGTGTTTTGTTTTTCCAGAACACCCGTCCCGGAGAAGCCAGGAGGCACTGGCAGAGCAGAATTGTCAGGCTCCGGACTGTGGTGAACGTCCCAGCACCCCAGCCTCCGCTGGCCCCAGGCCAGCCTCCACTTGGAAGTGCTGACCACAGCTTGACCACGGTAGGAAAAACATCCAGGGAAGGAAGAAAGCACCGCCACGGAGAACGGGGCTGGCGGGGCCGAGGCCAGGCCCACTCTGGAGGGCAAGTGTGGGCTCCAGCTCCATTGCTCCGAAGGGCACCAGCACCCAGCACACGGTCCCAGGGGGTCCGGTCCCCAGCCAGCTGTCCCTGACACACCACAGGCCACATTCACGCGGCCTCCAGGAGGCAAAGGGCGTGGCTCAGATGCGGAGATCAGAAGCAGCACGGCCGCAGAGTGGCAGGGCCCCGGGGCACGTGCAGTGCTGAGACCCTGCACACATGGCTTGACCCGCTCAAGGGACCTTTGAGGGTGGTTGTGTCACTGCCATTTTACAAATGGGACTTAGAGAAGCTGAATCACTTGGCCGAGGCCGCACCCTGGAGATGACAGGGCTGGGACTCAAAGCCAGCCTGCTGGGGTCCAAGTCCACCTTCTGCTCTGTCACCAGAAGGTGCAGTCATTGCGTCTTTTTTTTTTTTTTTTAAGGCAGTCTCACTCTGTCACTCAGGCTAAAGTGCAGTGGTATGATCTCTGCTCACTCCAACCTTCGCCTCCTGGGCTCGAGCAACTCTCCTGCCTCAGTCTCCCGAGTAGCTGGGATTACATACGCCCACCACCACACCCGGCTGATTTTTGTATTTTTATTAGAGACAGGGTTTCACCATGTTGACCAGACTGGTTTTAAACTCCTAACTTCAAACGATCCGCCCACCTCAGCCTTCCAAAGTGCTGAGATTATAGGCGTGAGCCATTGCATCTTTACAAATAAAATAATGAAGAGAAAAACAGTAGGCGCTGCCATCTCTGTGTGGAAGTCTGGACTGGTTTCAAGCGACCAGTGGGGACAGCAGCAGCAGCGACCTGTGCTTCACGAACACCTCCTGTGGGCCTCACCCGAGCTCCTCAGCTCAGCCCGGGGGTCTGCACGGTGACATCACCTCCATTCCCAGCACCCCACACCATGACTCATGGTCCAAACCCGCCGTCTACTCCCAGCTCCTCACAAGAAATGCCACGGCTTGGCCAGCACCACCATTGACCGCCACAGTGAGACGTGGGGAGACCAGAGGCTGGTGCGAGAAGCCCCCTCCTCTGCAGCCCTCAGAGCTGCAGCCACCTCACTAGAAACCACGGACAATGACAAGGGCTGCCCATTTGCAAACTGCTTGGCCACACAGCTGGCGAGTTGAATAATGAGAGTTTAATCCAAATTTATGTACGTCTTACATCACTGCGTTCCGCCATAGCAAATTAAAAGCAAAATGAAATTATATACCGAATACGCTACATTTTAACTGTTGGCCAAGAAGTAGGTTTGGCCAGGGCTTTCCTGTATTTTTCTCTTTACGGTTATTATAAAAACCAGTTGCGTGTATAAGTATGTGTGTACATGTGAGACCGTGTGTGTGTGAATGTGTGGGATACGTCTGTGCTGGGGGGCTGTCCATGGATGTCTGTGTGAATGTGTATGGGTGACTATATGTCTGTGAATGTGTGTAAATTGTGTGTGTCTGGGCGTGGGTGTGAATATGGAAGACGGGTTCAAGTGTGTGTATGTGCGTTTGCGTGTGGTGTGTCCATGGGTGTCTGTGTGAATGTGTGTGTGTGAGACTGTAAGTCTGTGAACGAGTGTATGTGTGTATGTGAGCTGTGTGTGTCTGAGCCTGAGTGTGAACATGTGGGGTGGGTGCAAGAGTGTGTGTGTGTGCGCGCGTGCGTGTGTTCTAAAGGTCCTTCTCTAAGTCCAGAACCATCAGTCTCTCCATTACCCAGGGTCCTGCAGGCAAATTCATCTCTGCTGTTTGCAAGGAAGGAGTGGGAGAGAGTTCCAAACCATTTTAAAACAAATCTGTAGTAACTGAGAAGCCACTTACAGGAAAGGAAACCAGCCTAGGCCATTCAAGCTTCCCTCACTCTAGGCCAGCAGGCAAGCCCTGCACAGCAGGACCCATGGGCCTCAGCAAGGCATCAAACTCCCAGGCACGTGCGTTGCTGCAGGGGGCCCTCAGTGAGTCATTTAAGAGAGACAAACTTCTTTTTTTTTTTTTTTTTTTTTTGAGACGGAGTCTCTCTGTCGCCCCAGGCTGGAGTGCAGTGGCCGGATCTCAGCTCACTGCAAGCTCCGCCCCCCCGGGTTCCCGCCATTCTCCTGCCTCAGCCTCCCGAGTAGCTGGGACTACAGGCGCCCGCCACCTCGCCTGGCTAGTTTTTTGTATTTTTTAGTAGAGACGGGGTTTCACCATGTTAGCCAGGATGGTCTCGATCTCCTGACCTCGTGATCCGCCTATCTTGGCCTCCCAAAGTGCTGGGATTACAGGCTTGAGCCACCGCGCCCAGCCGAGAGACAAACTTCTAAGAACTGGATGATTACACAGAGATGTGGTCATGAAGAGGTCCCCAGATCTCACGTCTGGAGAATTGCAGGAGCGAGAAAGGGGAGCGCCAGGTCCAGTGGCTCCGGGAACGCCCTTGTTCCAGGTCTGACCTGAGGCCGAGCAGCACTTCCATAAGCTCCACTTGGAACTGACTTCTCAGCACGCGCCACTGCAAACCCGAATTCCCTCTGTACCTCACAAATCACGCATTCACAGAGCATTTCCTTAGACACCAAGTCCCTGATAATGATGTGCAAATAAACCAGGCAGTAAATATCTTGTTATTTCCCATCGGCAGGTGGAAATCCACTCTCCCAGTGGTCCAGGAAGCAGTGTCTCCTAGAGGCAGCCCAACAGCAGGCGGGGGCCTGGGGCCTCCTCTGTCACTGTCAGCACCTCCGGTGTCCAGCCCCCGATCCACCAGGAAGCGATCGCAGCCCTGATCCCATCCATTTAAAAAGAGTAACCGTGGAGTTGCTGGGTTCTGGAAGGCAGCTGGCCCCTGAGTCCCTCTGTGCCCAGGCTCACCAGCATCAGGCCTCTGAGCCCAAGCCAAGCCATGGCATCCCCTGTGACTTGCACGTATAGGCCCAGATGGCCTAAGTAACTGAGGAATCGCAAAAGAAGTGAAAATGCCCTGCCCCGCCTTAACCGATGACATTCCACCACAAAAGAAGTGAAAATGGCCGGTTCTTGCCTTAAGTGATGACATTACCTTGTAGAAGTCCTTCTCCTGGCTCATCCTGGCTCAGAAAACTCCCCCACTGCGCAGCTTGTGACCCCCACTCCTGCCTGCCAGAGAACAACCCCCTTTGACTGCAATTTTCCTTTAGCTACCCAAATCCTATAAAACGGCCCCACCCCATCTCCCTTCGCTGACTCTCTTTTCGGACTCAGCCCGCCTGCACCCAGGTGATTAAAAAGCTTTATTGCTCACACAAAGCCTGTTTGGTGGTCTCTTCACACAGACGCGCATGACAACCAGGAGGCCACCAATGAACTACAGCCTCCCGGGGCCTTCGCACCCACCAGCCTCAGGGTCCCGTCATCTGCATCAGCCGGGCTCCTGTAGGACTGGTGCCATGTGAGGCTTCCTGAGAACACAGAGACACTTCCCAGGGTCACCACTGGAGAATCACCCCCTCTTTGCCCAACACCTGCCCGGAGTCAGAAACAGCTCTGCTTGTCCCAGGATAACCGAGAGAATCCATTCACAGAGCACATAGTAGACGTTTTTCCCGCCTCATCTCCCCAACCCCTTAAGAGGTGGTGCTGACTTCGGCCCATTCTCAGAGGAAGAGTAGAGATTCGGGGCAGGAGGTAAATGCTCAGGGTCCTCTGGCTAGAACCGAAGGGCCAGGGTTGTCTGCACTCTGCTCTTCCCCCACCCGCCTGAATTCACCACGGCTGGCCTCACCCTGACTGGAGAGAGAAACGGGCCATCCCCCTGTCCCAGTCCTGATACACACAAATCCGGCTTCCACACCTTCCTGTTTGTAACACAACCTGCCTGCACCTCCTGGACACGAGGGTGCAGAAATCCACTGGCTCCGTGCTGGAGTCAATCAGGCTGCTCCACGGATCTGCCCCACCTGCCACTGAGCTGGCAAATCGGCCACCACGGCTGGGCAACCGGGGCTGGAGAAAGTGACTGCTCACCTTTCCAAAGTCTCGCACATCGAAGAGGTCAAAGGGGTCAAACAGCTCGCTGTTCCTTAATCCGAATTTATCATGGCAGACTTTCAGGAAGGTGCGTATGTTCTTCAAACACAGGAACTAGAGAGAGAAAACAAAGGGTAAGGAAAAACTTATTAAAACTGTAAGCTCTGTAAAAACCATAACAGCAACAGCAGTAAGCTTTGGCTTCCGTGCGCCAGCACATCCAAGCTCATTCCTGTTTTCTCAAGGAGGAAATGGGCTCAGAGAGACGACGAAACCCCCCATCCCAAGGCTGGGGGGTGGGAAGCCAGGCCTGGATGGAAGCAGACAGCCCAGCCCCACATCCGAGTGTGTAACCACCACTGCCCCCGGCCTCCTCTTCACACAGCTGCAAAATTCCCAAGGCTTTTGCATTCAGAAGACACGCCACTCCCCATAACGGTTGGTCAGGGCGGCAAGGCAGCACCCTCCATGCCATCCAACACAGCCCTCCCAAGCGCACCCAGCACATGTCAAGGCCGACAGTCACGGCCGGAGCAGAATATGGCAGCCTTGAGTCAACAAGAATGGCTGGCGCATGCTCACGTGGGCACGTGCACAGGCGTGCGCACACACGAGGCTTCTGACAACACCAACGCATCCTTCCTACTCACGGGTGACAAAGCCAACAGCCAGGGGCCACCCCCAGGAAGCCACAGAAGACCCAGAGAGTGGCAGGTGCCAACCACAGTGGAAGGGTGGAGGGAGCACAAAAGCCAGAAATCCCAAATCAACGCGCGGGCCATCTCCTCTCTGCCCACTGCCAACCAGTGAGCTCTCGGCCCTCGCCACACCTGACGTGCCACGGGGGCAGCAGGCTTGGCAGGGCGGAATGGCCATCTGCCCAGTCCTCGTGGAGAAACAGCTGGTAAAGAAACTTACAAGGCAGAAGGTGAGGTGGCCTGGGAGGCAGGCTCTGGAGTCACTCAGGCCCAGGTTGGAACCCTGTCTGCTGACTCCAGCAGGGAGACCAGGGAGAGTGGTTAGACCAGGCCTGGTTTCCCACCGCCACCTGCCTCACGGGGTTAATCATGTGCCCTGATGACCACCGTGGGCAGTGGGGTGTGGGAGCCATCAGCCCCCCAGTCCAGCTCCGCACCGGGATTCACAAGGGGAGGCCGCGGCACACACGGCCCAAGAAGAGCCCGGCTTTGTCATCCTCATCAATAACCGTCCCCTACGGACAAACTACCCAGCTCCAAGAGAAATTTACAGAGCCCGCCCTGCTCACTGGAAATTGAGGGGAATGGACAGATTTAGAAATAGTGCAGGTCAGAATCAGAGCCTAAGAGCGTGAAGCAAGCAGCACTGAGAATGCCCTGGGAGCGCAGGGTCCCCCAGCCAGGACACACGCCCCTGCCGGCCCCTTCCTCCGCCTCACAGCAGGCAGTGCTCACCCCAGGCCCCTCTGCCTCAGGCCACTCCTCCCATCCTGGCAGGGGTCCGCGGCTGTTCATAGACAACAGACTCATTTGTTTTATCCTACAGTCCCTCTCTGTCCGTGTGTGTGTGTGTGTGTGTGTGTGTGTGTGTGTGTGTGTGTTTCTGAACACTCGAGATGAACTGCAGTAATGATACTCCTTCATCCCTAAATACCTGAGTGTGTATTTCCTAAGAACAAGGACGGCCGGGCGCGGTGGCTCAAGCCTGTAATCCCAGCACTTTGGGAGGCCGAGACGGGCGGATCACGAGGTCAGGAGATCGAGACCATCCTGGCTAACCCGGTGAAACCCCGTCTCTACTCAAAAATACAAAAAACTAGCCAGGTGAGGTGGCGGGCGCCTGTAGTCTCAGTTACTCGGGAGGCTGAGGCAGGAGAATGGCGTAAACCCAGGAGGCGGAGCTTGCAGTGAGCTGAGATCTGGCCACTGCACTCCAGCCTGGGCAACAGAGCGAGACTCCGTCTCAAAAAAAAAAAAAGAACAAGGACATCCTCTTCCATAATCACAGTACCTATGGCAAAACCAGGAAACTAACATGGACCCCACACGGTTATCTTATCTATAGACCTTACTTGCATTTCCTTAATACATAAAGGACAACCAAAATGTCCTTTATAGTTAAAAGAAAAAAAAAAAAAACTGGCCCACACTCCAATCTGGGATCACACAGTGTATGCCGCCATGCCTCTTCAGTCTCCATTAATCTGGTACAATCTTCTCCAATAGGATTTTCTGGAATGATAGGAATGTTCTATCCACGTGCCGTCCAGTGGGGCAGCCACTAGATGCCTGTGCCCACCAAACAGTTGAAATGCAGCTAGTCCAGTTGGGCGTGGTGGCTCACACCTGTAACCTCAGCACTTTGGGAGGCCGAGGCAGGAGGATCACCTGAGGTCAGGAGTTCAAGACTAGCCTTCCCAACATGGTGAAACCTCGTCTCTACTAAAAATACAAAAATTACCCAGGCACGGTAGCACATGCCTGTAGTCCCAGCTACTCGGGAGGCTGTGGCAAGAGAATCGCTTGAACCCAGGAGGTGGAGGTTGCAGTAAGCTGAGATCGCACCACTTCACTCCAGCCTGGGTGACAGAGCAAGACTCTGTCTCAAAAAAAAAAAAAAGGTGACTACTGAAAAACTGGATTGCTAATTTTAAATTAAATTTTAAAGCTACATGTGGCTAGTAACTGCTAGTTTAGACAACATGGATCTAAAACACTCCAAGATCTTTGTTTTTCACAACCTGTTAATTCTGAAGAATATAGACACGAAAGGACAAATCCTGTGTGATTCTTTTTTTTCTTTTTTGAGACGGAATTTCACCCTTGTTGCCCAGGCTGGAGTGTAATGGCGCGATCTCGGCTCACCACAACCTCTGCCTCCTGGGTTCAAGTAATTCTCCTGCCTGAGCTTCCTGAGTAGCTGGGATTACAGGCATGTGCTACCACCAAGCCTGGCTAATTTTTGTATTTGTAGTAGAGACGAGGTTTCTCCATGTTGGTCAGGCTGGTCTCCAACTCTCGACCTCAGGTGATCCGCCTGCCTCGGCCTCCCAAAGTGCTGGGATTACAGGCATGAGCCACCATGCCCAGCCATGGTTCCACTTTCATGAGGCCCCCGGAGTCGTCAGATCCACAGAGAGAGAAAGCAGAATGGCGGGCGCCCTCGAAGGGGTGGGCGACAGGGTGTTGTGGTTTTGTGGGGAACAGAGCTCTCGCTTGGGAAGACGAGAGAGTCCTGTGGATGGTGGTGGTGGCGCCTGCCACCAAAGTGAACGTGTTTGATGCTACTGGACAGTGGCCTAGAGAAAAACTGGAGAAGATGCCGAGTTTGATGCTATGTGTATTTTACCACAATAAAAAGATTAATTAGAAGAGAGACAGAGAGACATGGAGACACAGACCCACGAGGAGGGCATATGACGACGGGCCCCTTTCCTTAGCGACTGGGAGTGACACAGCTGTGCGCCACACCAAGGGTGGCCACTGCCGACAGAAGCGGGAGAGGGTGTGGGACGGGTTCTCCCTGGAGGTCCCAGAAGGAACTGTTGCTGCCGCACACAATTGATTCAGGCTTCTGGTCTGCAGCCCTAGGAACAAGAAGGTTCTGCTGCTTAAAGCCACCACGTCCATGGCGTTTGGTGAGGGCAGCGCCAGACGCTGGAGCTGGGAGCGGGCCTGCGCCGGGGAAGGGGCTGCACCCTCTCGCTCGTCTGTACTGCCGCGTGCGCTGCGGCTTCCAGCCCGGCGCGACTATTTTTTGCATATGGCTCGTCTGTAATTTCCACGAAGCATTTATTTTCATTCTTCCTCAGCCTCCCAAGTTTAGAGTTAATTACACAGATCCCAACCATAATCACAGCCGGCCAGGCCCAGGCTTCCTTTCGGGCGCAGGATGGGGCCAGAGCACCCCTTTCCCGTGGACCCAGCAATTGCTGTGCCTGACCCGGCTCCACCCGTGGCCACTCTGGTCACCCTAACCTTTAAGAAGTCCTCCTGGTGCAGCTCTGGGCCCAACCCAGGGTGGTCTCTGCAAAACTGAGCCACACAGGCTGATGCAGATGGCAGGAACAGGGACCATATGGACAGGGATGACAGAGACCGGGACGAAGCCTGGGCACCACGTCAGCCTCCACCTCGAGGGAGGCCGCACAGGGCCCGGTCCCCCTTCAGTGAGCGTCTCCTGTGCTTTCTACAGTTCATCCCATTTTCCACGAAGGGAAACTGAGGCACAGAGTTAAGGACATGGGCACCTGATCAGAGGGCAGCAGCGCCAAGAATGAAGCCATGTCGGCATCGGCCAGGGCAAAGGCCCTCTGAGAGGACAGGTGTGTGAGCAGGCAACGGGTCCCTCCTGCCGTCCCTGAGCCCCTTTCCTCAGTGGCCCAGTTTGCAAGGTCTGTGGTCGCTCTGGAGCCAATCAGAGCCTCAAGGTACAGGTTCTAGATAGAGACCCCGACGGTTGGCAGGGACTGGACCCAAGGCTGAGGTTGCCGCAAGTGCGTCTTAGCCACAGGCGCCCATTGAGGACACAGGCCGAGGGACAGTGGGCAAGGGAGGCCCAGATGGTGGTCAGCGCCAGGTGAAAACTCCCCTGTCCATGCTCAAGCTGTGGGGGCTGGCTTCAGCTGTCACCTGTGGCTGCAGGGGCAAGGGGCATTCTCTCTCATTGATCCAACCTGGCCTTCGGGACCCCCCCTCACAAAGGCAGCCACTGCTTGCCCCAGCATCCTGGACTGTAAGTCCAGCTGAGCGGCCACAGCAAGGGTCTGTCACCAGAAAACAAGCCCTGTGACAAGGGTCCCAGGGTTAAGTGGCCTCTCCTCCAGGCTGGCGGCTATGCGGTCCCCACTGTGTTTGCTTAGGGCACTCTGAGGGGGCATGGGCTACCCCAGCTCCCGAACTCTCCACAGCCCCAGACTGCAGGGAGGGCTCCTGCCCCTGGGCCCCAAGAATCCCTTGTCCAGGTTCTGCCGCTGCAATGAGAGGCGGCGTATACTGTGCTCTGGAAACGTCAGCCCCTTTCTCTCCAGCCCATTCATCGGCAGCCGCAGATCTAATCAGGCTGAAATCGGATTAGTGTGGTGACACAGGCTCCATGCCCTGCCGCCCACCTCCCCAGGCTCAGCTGCACGGTCC